CTCACCCATGAAACCCACAATATTCTCCAATGGAAGCAAAGTTAAGCAAACTGGGACTCACCCATGAAACCCACATTATTCTCCAATGAAAGCAAAATTAAGCAATCCGGGACTTGCCCCGACGCACGCGCAAACAGTGCTGCAACGAGTAATGTCCTCCAGTAAAAATAATACAACGGGTTACAATTCCGACCTAGCTCGAATTAACACCATTTCGGCCATCGCCAAACGAAAGGAAATTTTGACCTCGCTCGAATTTACAACGGGTTACAATTCCGACCACGCTCGAATTAACACCCTTACAGCCATCGGCCATTGCCAAATGAAAGGAAATTTCGACCTCGCTCGAAATTACAATGGGTTACAATACCGACCTCACTCGAATTAACGCCCTTACGGCTATCGGCCATCGCCAAACAAAAGGAAAATCCGACCTCGTTCGAATATATAACTCAGAAATTGACTTCGCCCAAGATGGCGATTCCAAATTTGACCTCGTTCGAATATATGTCAGAATTTGACTTCGCCCAATATGGCGACTCCAAATTCGACCCCGTTCAAATATATAAGTCAGAAATTGACTTCGCCCAAAATGGCGACTCCAAAATTGACCTCGTTCGAATATATAAGTCAGAAACTTTCGCCCAAGATGGCAACTCCGAGTTCAATCTCGCTCGAATACATATGGAAAAATTAACTTCGCCTAAATTATTAAGTCGGAATTCGATCCCACTCGAGTATACAAGTCGAAACTGACTTCGCCCAAGATGGTGAGTCTAAATTCGACCTCCTTTGAATTAAGGTTGGTTCCGCCTAAGTTGGCAAGTCAAAAGTCGACTTGCTCGAACCGACAGATCCAAAGTGACTCATTCAGACTCATATGGTGAGATCTTACGCGATCAGGGCAAGGTCGGATTCCCAATTAAAAAGATCAGGGACTCATCACATAAAATCAAAAGATACACAAACGAAGGCGAAACAACTATTTCATTACATGCGCGACAACCGCACCCTACAAAAGGCCGAAACGGGCCCTCGGGAAAAAGATGAAAATAAACAACAGAAGAACAAAAAAAAAAACTAAGTACAAAGGTTGCAGCAGAAGCTTCTCTCAGTGTCTTCCCCATCGCCGTTCTTCCCAACATCCTCATCATCATCAGAAGGGAGCCCATCCTCGACATCAACGCCCTCTCCAGCCTCCGGCGTTGTAGGGTCGTAACCGCAGGCAGTGCGAGCCTCACGTGCCTTCGCCCGAGCATCTTCAAAGGCGGCCTCTGGGATATTCCCCATCTCCCATAAACCCTTGTATATATTACGTTGGGCCTCGGCATGGACCCATAGCTCATACAGGCGGCGGGGAACAATGGCCGAAGTAGACTCTTGAGAGGGAGCTTGAGCCAATAACTGCACCTTCTCAGCTTCGAGAGCCGCAACTCGGTCTCCCAAGATCGAAGCGTCTCGATCAAGTTCACCAATTCGCTCCTCGAGCTGTGCCTCCCTTAGCGTGGCCGTCGCTCTCTCTCCTGCTCGGACCGGAGGACGCGGATAGTATCCTCTAGTGCTGCCACCCTCGCCAAAGCCGACACTCGAGCGTTCTCGTCTCTCTCCATCTCGACCACTTTCTTTTCTAGTTCAGCCACCTTCTCCGTCCATTCCGCACTCAGAGCATCGACCTTAGTAGCATTTTGCTCAAGCTCAGCTTGTAGAGACGATACCTTTGCCAGAAAGTCCTCATATTCCGTGGCGACCCCTTTGCCCACCTAAAGCTCTTCGTCCTTGACATGAAGTTGCTCCTCAAGCTCGCTGCATCTGCGGATAGACCGCATCAGTTCCTCATCTCTTCTCTCCAACTCCTCCCTGGTGAATTGGGAGCCCGCACCCGCTCTAAGCTGCTCATGCCTCTCCCGGCATCTGTTGCGATATCGCCGATACTTCTCGACCATTTTCAGAAAGATCTCGTCCCGCGTCTCGGTCCTACGAGCACTCTCAACCTCCAGCATGTAAGTCTAAAAAAAAAGGAAGCAAGAAAGAGTCAGTGTAAAATCAAAGGTCACAAAACTAAGAAAATAAAGGGGAACTCACCCTTAGGCCAATCGCGGCCACACCACGTGATAGCTCGGAGTCGCTGACATCCTGAAGAGCTTCGCTTTCAGCGGCGGAATACAGAAGATCGAACTGCGGCACCAGATCCACCGTGTCTTGCAGCAGAATGAGATTTCCGCTCTTACCACAGTTCGAGTAAATCCCTTCTCGAATATCCTCATGTTCTTAGGGTCAATGTCGGATTCAGACTCATAATCCTCAACCATGACACCCTTCCCCCTCTCATTGGCCGAAGAAGGGGCACGGTTCTGCCGCGATGTCGAAGGGCCGCCCGAAACAGCAACGACAACCTCGGAACTCTGCCTCTCCGTCACACTAGCCCCTTGAACGCTTACAACGGGCATTACCTCTGCGTCCAGGTTGGTACCACCGCCAGTTTCAGGCGCCGCCGAGGCAAGGTCTCCCCTCGAAGATGTTTCGGCTGGAGAAGCCTCTTCCAACACTACCCATCATCTCTTCGATGGGGCCTCTCCACTACCAACGCGGGAATATTCGCCCGTTGAACGGACTGTGGGAATCGAAGTCTCCGGCTGAAGAGTAACCTCCACGCGCACGGCTTCGGCCGCGGGTGTAGGCCGGGCAGTAGCTCTTGGTATAGGCCGGGCAGTAGCCCTCGACGCAAACCGGGCAGGGGGCGTAGGTTGAGGGAATGCAAGCGGAGGAGCCCTCGTCCTTCGCACTCTCCGACCTATCAACAAGGAGGGATTAGATCATATAACGACAAGGTTAAACTATGAAGCAAAGAATAAAGCGAAACTACAACAGGCTGACTCACTAGTAAGAGGCTTGCGCCCAAACTTCTCATGGAAGAACGCCTACTCACGAATCCCCACCGTGTGGGGGAGAATTGCGCTCACCCACTCGCGGATATCAGCAACTAGCGGGGAAGGTAGTCTCTCGGCTGCAAAAGCAAAAACAAGTCCTCAGCAATGTCGCTTAAAGGGAGACGATCGGCGATCGTCTTAAGAAAAATCACAAAGTAAACAAAGGAAAACTCACGAGCGAAGTTCCATGTCTCTGGAAACCCTACCGGGTTCGCCACGAGGTGCTCTGTCCACACATAGAAGTAGCTTTCCCAAAAACGGAGGTTGGCCTTATTGTCCATCTTCACCACCAAACTCTTGGTTCCTCGATGGCGCATATGGATCATCGTACCCCGAAGAAAATGAGGGGCAAAGATGTGAACCATTTGCCCCTGGGAAATTCCTCGGCCGGCCAGCTCCGCGTACTTGATGAGCATAAGAAAGAGTTTGTACGTATACGGAGAGAGTTGAGTCGGGCACACTTCATAGAAGCAGCAGAAGTCCACCACCTGAGAAGGAAGGGGAAGCGTGTACCCGACAACAAAGGGATACGCGTAGAACGCGCAATATCCCGGACGGTGCAGATGCATAATATTCTTCCCCGCCGGCACCCTCCATAGTGGAAGGAACAGGCTTCGGTTCATCCGTAGTAGGGCTGTTAAAATTGGTCCTCGTCTTCCCCGGGCGAGGAACTAACTCATCCACCATCGGGAATCCTTCATCTTCCACCACCTCCGCTCCCTCTTCGAATAGGGATACGTCACTTTCCGACACCGGAGCACCGATAGCTCTATTAGATTGAGAAGGAGTACTAGCCATTTGTCTTCTTTGATCGAAATAAACGAGAACGATGAAGGTAAAAAGGTAATGGTCACAGAAAACTCTAGCGAAAGCAGAAGTATGAAAGATTAGAGAACGAGGAGGAAGTTTGCAGAATTTCTTTCTTAGACAAATTGAAAAGTGCAACAGTCTAATAAGAGGCTCCCCCTATTTATAGAAATATAAATGTCCTGAGCGAGAAATCCGAGAGCCGCCAATCAGGAAACGGAAAGGGCACAAGAAACGATACAGTGCCTGGGAAACTTACGCCATAATGACGCATAATAAGCATTCATGATATCATGAATTGATGTGACGACTCAACTCTGAAATGATGTAACGGTCCAATGAGATTCTTAAAGCGTCACGTCGCTACCTTACCATAAGGACCTCGACCCTCGCATAATGATCAGATTTCTCCTAACTTTTGAATCAATAGAATCCGACCATCGAGCTCGCCAAGAGGCGACCCCAACAGGCGGATGGACTAACTTTATGGGTCAAAATCTGACCACAAGTGGATTACCATTAAAAGGAATGGAAAGGGGTCGACCAAGCCATGGACGTACCTATAAGCGTAATGGCGACGAGTGTCTTGGCCACTGCTGAGATCGAGCCATCGAAACGCTTGCACGGCAGAAAATATGCAGTCATGCTTGAGCGAGTAAAGAGGGGTATAGTAAAGTAGGGGTATGCTGGTTAAAGACCGTTGGACAAAGAGGAAGATGGTATGTATGTATATATATATATATATATATATATATATATATATATATATATATATATATATNCTTAGTTGTCAACGAGATTCCTTCTTTTTCTTCTTCACTCTTTTAAATACAAAACAATTTGGTGTCAAAGATGTAAGCTTACCATTTACATTTGATATTCTTTAATCGTCCTTACAAAAGTTATGCAAGCTTGATCTTACGTGATTCTCGTATTCAATGTGCTTAGATCTAAAGTTAATTATGTTTGGCTAGGATTTATCCTCTATTTTCTTCATTAATTAGTTTAACTAAAAGGCTCAACATTTTTTGGTCAAATATATGATTTTCCCCAAAAGGCCTCACACTATTAAGAGATGTGAGATGTAAGCTCCAAATCTTTTCAGCTACCAATAAGACTTTGTTTGCAAACCCAACATAGAGTTTATTGGAGTTGGCAGAAAATTGGACAGTATAAGATGACAGAAATATAATAATAGTATGTGTAAACAAAAAAGATCTTCTTCTTACCCCAAAGCTGTGAGATGAAAGAAATAGAATTATAGTATGTTCAAACAAAAAATTTCGTCTTATCTTAGCCCCAAATCTGTACAAACTGAAAATTAGGGGCTTCATAAAGCACTTACATGGTGTAAAAAAGAGGAAGAAAATGCTAACAAATAATAGGACAAAAGAGGAAGGCAAGTCCCACACTAACAAAACATTTAGTTTTTGATATTTTCTTAAAAGAAAAATTCTCATATTAAAACTTCAGAACAAAATTCTCATCCATTAGGACCCTGTGTTTTATTGGCTCCTCGAGCTCTCGTAGCTAGATGGCATTGTATTTGGGTAACTTAAGTTGTCCTGCATAAATCACGACGAAAACTGTAAATAAAAGAAAAGAAAATTTCCAGCATGGATGAGGTTTTGATGACTGCAGTACATATACAAAAGCAATACTAAATATCTTATTGTTCATCAAAGATATATGATGTTCATTTTATGGATTTAACGTATATACGCTGACAGTCTAAAGAAGGTTTACAAGGTCAGCCAGGGGCATATCTAGAATAGAATCTATGGGTCAGATCCTATATATTTGCCAAAAAATTCATTAAATATATGTTACAAATAATATTAGATGTGATGTGGTAGATTTTTGGATCTGAACCCATAAAGTTCATATTCTGGATCCGCTTCTGCGGTCAGTATATTGTAACATGTTGTAGTAGGTAACTTGGCTTATTGTCTACGCTACTAATCTCACTTTTTATGGACGAGATACCTGTAGTTACCTTCTCGGTGAACTGGCAGTGTATAAAAGTTAAACTCTTAATTTATGCATCTTGACTTACCCGGGAGAGGGAAACTTGGCTGTGATTGGGTGAAATATTGGAATTGTACATAAGTGATGGGCATGTGTGATCTTCTGCAAGTGCTCTCAATCTTTCTAATTGTGGCAAAACGACCTTGCCAAGATCCGGTCTGTCTTTTCGCCTTAGCTCAGAGCATTGTAGCGATAACTTGGCAAGACTCAAAGCCTCATCGACGGGCCAATCAGGAATATCTGGATCAAGCATTTCATTGAATGTCCCTTTCTCAATTGCCCTATCAACATAATGAGTCAATCCCATTGGCGGCTTAGCTGTTAAAATCTGCAAGAATATGATCCCTAAGGAGTATACATCCGATTTTACACCAAGCATGCCAGTTTGCTGATATTCAGGATCAATATAGCAGAAAGTTCCAGCCGTTGATGTCATTCTATATTGAGTGACAGTATCTGCTACTGATGGAGGAACAAGTCGAGCTAAGCCAACATCACTAATCTTACTCACAAAGTTGCGATCCAGCAAAATATTGCCTGGCTTTAGATCACGGTGCACTAATGGCTCCGGTTTGCTCTGGTGTAGGAAAAGCAGGCCAGTAGCTATCTCAGCAGCAATTCGAAACCTCTGCTGCCAAGAGAGTGGTGGTGTCTTTCCTCGGTGGAATAAACGGTCTTCTAAACTTCCATTTGACATATACTCATACACCAAGCATCCATATTCCGGACAGGCTCCTAAAAGAAGCACCATATTAGGATGTCGTATGCAGCTCAGGACTTCAACCTGCAATAGAAGAATATAATTATTGACTAGTAAAGAATACTAACTATAATATAACATACCAACATTCAATTGTGGGGCATTATAACAATCAGTGCCGGAACCAGAAATTATTACAAGTGGATTCAAAAAAAATTCTAGGATGTCACAGTTGGAATTTGAACCTATGAGACTTAAAGCAATTTTGAACCCACTTTACTGCTATACTTGAATGTTTTCATGTCAAGGGAATTCAACATCTCACATATAACCAAAAAGGATCATATTTACTCTATTTGCACAGTGTAATTTTTTCGACAAAGGGGGTTCGGAACACCCTTCATTCTACTTAGATCAGCACTGATAACAATTTGTCTAGAGATTATATAGCCCTTTGTCTTATTTTTGATCAGATGCTATTCATTCTACTTTGAAGATTTCCCCTTGCTTACTTTTCTGCTGATACTTATTTACATTCCGTTTAAATTAGACTCTCAGGCCATGAAACAAACATGCCTCAAGCCTGTGATAAACATAGGGAGGTAACACATAACAGTGGGTGGTAAGCAATTTTCTCTAAAATCATTGAATTCGGATATCATTCTTTCAAATACTTATCCAACAGTATTTTGTATCTTTCACTGAATTACCTCTTGCTGAAACTGTTGTCTTCCATGAGCAGCATCAGGACGGAGGACCTTAACTGCAACAGGCGTATGATCGAGGTAGCACTTATACACCGGCCCATAGCCTCCTTCTCCAATTTTACGAGTTTGGGCAAAGTAGTCTGTTGCAGATTCAATCTCCTCAATTGTATATTTCCTGTACCTGAAATCAGAGTTTGTAAGTTTATTCAGTATCTTATTCTTCTCTTCTGCTTCTTTTAGAGCTTTCATTTCTGCGCTGATTCTCTTTTGCGCTTCTAGTTCTGCAAGCCGCTGAGCTGCCTCTGCATGCTCAATGGCTGCTCTTGACTTTGCCTTTTCCTTCTCGGCAAGTGCCAGCGCAGCTTCCTCAGCTAAACGTGCCTCTTCTAGTCGTCGTTGTTCTTCCTGTTTCCAGCGCTGGAGTTCCATCGCCTGCAACGAACAACATGTTATAGTACATCCAATAGAATCATTAGACTGCACAGGAGTATTAGTTTATTGTGCCTTTTGTTTTGCTGTAAGTGCTTCCCTGCAAGCCGTGCTATATAGTTCCATTGTCTGCTTAAGCTCCTGCTTTAGCCTTCTCATTTCTGCTTCCATATCGTCCTGTAAGCCAAAGGAGAGGTGTAAATATAGAACAAAGAATGCTTAAAGGCATGAAGTGAAGAGTCTGGTACACTAAGCTCCCGCTATACGCGGGTCCGAGGAAGGCCTGGACCACAAGGGTACGCAGTCTTACCCTGCATTTCTGCAAAATGAAGAGCCTCAGCCGAATATCTACCATAATGATTTCTCAAGTTTTGACAATATCTAAAGTATCAAAAGAGTTTCTTACATATACTTCTGGATTCTAGCGTCCAAAAAACACGTTCACTCCTTAATAATTATGACATTCCTTAATATTACATCCTTACTCTTTGTTTGAGAATGGCGAAAACATAAGTTCAACATAGACTTTAAAGAAAACCAGATGACGAAATGTCAGTTACATCACAAGCAAATAACTACAGTGCAGGAAGCCAAATTTCTCCGTCCCATCAAGCGGAAGCTATAACTGACTATAGATTTTAGATCCTATCACCACTCTTTAACATACTCTAATCGAAACTAATTTGCTTTATATCCGTTCGTTGAATAAGAAAGTTCAACCAGACAATATATGTTGCAGACATGCTTTTAGCCTAGTCTACTTGAACTAAGGATATTCGTCGATCCATAGAGAAAGTTAAATGGTCTAGAAATATTGAGTCAGATTTTACAGTTCACGAAAAAAAAAAAGCAATATTCTTAAATGCTTACTACTGGTCCTTGGGAGATTGATGGTCTATCACTCTCGAACGATGAAAATGATAGTTCAGGTGGAGTCAGGGTGTCCACCGATCTCCGTCCAAACTGTGTGGAATCAAAGCTTTGGGTCTCAAAATCGGAAAAGCCTGAAAGCCTAGGAGGGGTCGGTCCACCACCATCATAGCCATCGGAAAATGAAGAATAGATGTTGTCGATGCTTGGCCGACCAGAACTAACATATGATATATCAGTATCTGGCAAAGAGATTTCATATGGTTTTCCATTAGGGCCTTTCCTGTGGGTGAACGGCGACCTGTTTAAAATAGTAATATTCAACTTAGGCCTTCAAATGAGAAAACTATGCAAAACTATAGCGCTCTGAAGAACAAAATCCGTCAATTTCAAAATCTTCCAAAGAACTTGCATCGCTGACTTTGACATTCTCATTTTGTATGTAACAAATTACTGTTATCAAAACACAGTACTCCCTCCGTCCCAACTTGTGTGCACTGTTTGACTAGGCACAAGGTTTAAGAAAGAAAGAAAGACTTTTGAAACTTGCAGTCTAAAACAAGCATTACACATTTGTGTGGCCATAAATCATCTCATTAAGGGTAAAAGAGAAATTTTAAAGTTGAATTATTTCTAAATATAGATAGGTGACATTCTTTTTGGGACACACCAAAAAGGAAAGTGTGACACATAAATTGGGACGGAGGGAGTACAGTTTCTGCGGATATCAAGATAATTTTTCCGACTTACTTCATATTCATTGTGTCACTTTGAAGGGTAGATGGTGGCGGATCACAAACAGGTTTTGGACCTCCTGAATAAGGACCTATACAACGCAGTTATAGAATTACAACAAGATACAACCAAAACTTGATAGAAGAACTTGCTACTAGTGGTTGTTTCACCTCTTGAACTAGCAGCAGAGGGTGTTGAACCTTCAAAAGGAGCAAATTTGGTGCTGGCCGGCTGCATTAACTGGTGACGTAGTGGATGGACAAAAGGCGCAGGGCGAGAAGCAGCACGCGTAGATGCAATCTTTCCAGATTTGGAGATGACATGTACAGTACAGAAATCAGGAACCCCTTTTAATATGCCTCCTGGAATGTCTTTCGCTTTAAATCTGCGACACAGAAAAGGCTACTGACATTAGATAATCTGAAGACGTTCTTTTATTCAAAAATAACTGATCTAATGAAACCTCAATAAAAGGCGAAAGACATGCACACACATAAGTATATACAAACACCAGTTTCCTTTACTTCTTCAGAGGAACTTTTGAAAGTATATTTTAAGCAAAGTTTGTAGCATACTTATGCGCTAAGCGAGAGAAAAATGAGAATGTCACTCCATATATAGACAACAACAACAACAACAACCCAGTAAAATTCCACAGGTAAGGAACAACATATTTTGACATATAGCTCTTACTTTTTTGTTTGTTATTTCAGTCTATAAAATTTTGCTATTAGGTGACTGAGAACGGAAAGAAGATCAAATGGAATTTAGATAACATATTAACTGTTCAGGATATTATGATCAGAAATTATTTCCATCGTAAGCTCAACACTCCGTGCATAGACAGAGTCATACCTGAGAAGACCACCTCTTGTTGTAGCGCCAAGAATCAATACCTCTATTCCCGTTCGATTCACATATTCAACGATTGCTTTGACCACATCCGTGTCGTCCAACACAACATCATGACATTGTACCTGTTTTTTTAGGATAAGAAGAAACAAAATTAGAAATGCGAAAGCTGAAGGAAATAATGACTAAGACTTGACAAATTTTACGAATGTTTGTTAGTCTTCTCCTAGGTTTATATGGGAAGTCATCTAAGGTTTCGAGTTACTAACATCTTTCCTTGTACAAAATACTCGGAAAGGAAGAAACAGTTCCTTTGTCTGCGGATCCAATTCACTATTTCCCGATCCAGCTTCATCAGAAATCTGGTTTGACTCTGAAATGTAAAAGTACACAGTTATTTCTGCAACTAGACGATAAAAGAAAACAAATCCAGACTCAATATACTCGTCATTTTCCCATTTATCCTCATGAAATGGAACTTGGAGCAGTCTTAAGCAGGACAGATAAGTTACTTAACCAATTATAAATGGAAAATTTGTATTAACCATTTAAGCACAAAACTTGCAGGTTGCAGCAGTCAATTTGATCGGAAACAAGCAAATAACTAGCTCAACTTTCGGTAAATTAATATGATTAGTCAAGTATGACACAGAAAAAGAATCTGTAAGTATGGAACTAATTACGTCTTCACTCGTTCTTTATTACGGTACAACTACATGTTCACCTGTCATACTTAGATTTCATTTCTCTTAAATGTATAGACCTCTTTGTATGTCCATCTCAGTTATGAAATAAAAGAGAAACTACTGGACTATGTAATTATAACTTGCTTCCTTGCGAGTATTAGAGAATCCAATATAGGGAGGATATAGAGATCAAATCTATTAAGTCAATAAGCTCTTTTTAGAATTATAAAAACCTGGCTGTTTTTAACTTAAAATTTCTCTGCTATATGTTACTAACATTTAACTCTTACTTTGTTCCACCAAATGTTATGAACTTCTAGCTCTAAAACACAAGCAAGTCAAACATAAAAAGATTGATATACGTCCAATAAGAATTCAATATACGATGGATGTGGCCTTCTGGTAAATGAAGCAGGACGAAAACCATGGGAAATAAGGGTTCAAATCTCTGGAGCGACAAAATATACTAGGTGATTTCTTTCCATCTGCTAAAGTCTCGGTGAACAGAGTTATCCATATGCAATCATGTTTTGAACGTGTTTGACATTGCAAAATTTGTTCGCAGTGACAACTAATATTAAAATGATTCCTCTCTTTCTAAAAATAAAAAAGCAAATCGCTCATCGTGCTTAAGTTTTTATACCTTTTACGTGAGAACCTCGAAAATCTACACGCCATCAACAGCATTTCCAGCGCAATTTCAAGTTGATTCCTACATCTATTTATGATAGACATCATGGGATCCCAGGTGTACACATTTTATCTAATATCTTTATTTTGAATTTTACTAGCGGTCGTTCTACAATATCAACATCTACAATCAAATACTTGACTATCGGATATCTGTGCTAGTGGAAGGTAACATGTATTCGTGGAATAATAAGCCCAGGTATACACATTCTACTTAATATTTTTATTCTAATTTGTACAAGTGGTCATTCTACTACATCAACACGCACAAACAAATACCAGAGTCACCCGGTACCTGTGTCACATGTCTCGGTGAGATCAGATAGCAAGTAATCCATGGGATAGTCGAGGTCCAAGCAAGCTGGTCGGACACCACTGTTATTAAAAAAAAACAAAAATACATATAATGTAGAGAGGGAAAGAGAAGAAGAATTACTTGTAGGAGTGGATTGACCAGAGGAATTAGCAGATTGTTTAAGTTTGACATGGATCAAAAGAACTGTTTGGCCTCTGGCTAAAAGATGATCAACTGTCCATTTTAGAGCAATTTGACTTCCTCTATCTTTGTCTATTGCAACTGCTATTAATTTATTTGGTGTATGCATTCTTTCCCCATGCACACCTGGTGGTGGATGCCACATTTCTCTCTTTCAATTCTACCCCCAAAAATTCATATGTTTCAACAACAATTTCCTATTCCAAATACTCCAAGAATTCCAATTCTGACATGTTATTGTCAAATTCAAGAAAATAATGTGTTACCCTTTTATTTCTTGTTTTATCTTCAACCCATTTTAGGTTCTTGAAAATTATAATGATAACAAAAATCTTTTTGTGAATTCTCTCTTTCCATAAAGAATAAAGATGATTTTTTAGTCATTAAAACATTAGAGAAATTGTGGGGAGCTCCACCTTTGGTGGATATTTAGTTAATTTCAGTAATAGTAACCACTACTTGAATTAACAAACTCCCCTTTGGTCATTGGTCAAAGGACAAATACGCTTACTAGCTACTTTCAAATCTAATTTCAATAAATAAAAAAATAAAAAATATGATCCTATCCAAGAAATGTATTCCCTCCGGTCCATATTAGCTGTCCTCCTTACTATAATATATCGTGTTTCTCTTTTAAACCTCTTTAAACAAATATTAAATAGGAGAAATTTTTGACTGTTTTACCCTTATTTAAGTCTTAAGATATAATCTCTTTTCATTTTTTACTCATAATTGAGGTATTTGTAATCTTCAAGAACAATTAATATTAAGGGTAGAACAGGAAAAAGATAATTAATTTAGTCTTGAATTTCTAATATGACAAATAATTTTTTTTTGGTAACAATGTGAATTACCATTAACTTCAAACATCATATACACTTATAGAGCACCTGATTTCCAGAATAGAAATTAGGCCTCCTACAACCAACAAATAAAGAAAAAACTAGTTACATTGAAGATGTCGTATGAACTCCCTACATTTCTGTGCTTTCCTAGACATTTGTAGTAATTCTATTCTTTCTAATACTTCTCTTTTGATTTGTACAACTATCTCTTCTGTGTTTGTAATCCTATTCTGAAACTTTTTTGTGTTTCTAGCTCTCCATGTGTAGTATATTCTTGCTATTTGGACTGCAGCTGTGATTTCTTTCCTGAATTGTTTCTAGTGCTTGTTTTTAATCTGCTCCAGCATTTGCCTCACTCCTGTAGTTTGTTCTTCATATCTTGTCCATCTGCTCAAGTCATGCTTCACTGCTCTTGTCCATGCACAATGTACAAATAAATGGTCCTGAGTTTCCATTGCATCTTCATTGCACAGTATGCATTTGACATCATCAACCTGTACGTTCATTCCAATCATTCTATCCTTAGTCAACAATTTCTCTAGTGTTGCCATCCACCCTATGAACCTGTGCTTTGGTTGAGCTACTGCTGGCCATATCAAATCAGCAACCTTCATTCTTTGTCGACTCCCAATTAATGCAATATAGCTTGAATTTATAGAGTACTCCCCAGAATTGTTAAGCACATATTTGCCCTGCGAGTACCAATCTCTCATCAACTCTTTGATTGCATTTAATTTCCTCCAATACCAGCTGCTATCTGTTGGTGGAGAGTGAGCCCATATGTCAGAATTTGTCTTCATATACACTCCATGTACCCACTTTACCCATAGAGATTCCTTATTTAGTGCCAACTGCCATATCAATTTGCTTACTGAAGCTATGTTCCAATTCCTGCAGCCTTTGATGTTCAGCCCCCCCATACTTTTTGGACAACAGACTTTCTCCCAAGCAACCAAGGCCACCTTTCTTGTTTCTTCCTTTTCCCCCCATAAGTATTCTCTGCACAGTCTATCTACTCCTTTCACTACACTTTGAGGCAGTATAAAGATATTCCCCCAGAAGCTATGTATTGCAAATAACACAGCATTCACCACTTGAAGCCTCCCAGCATAGGATAGTTGTTTGGAATATGTAACATTGATTCTCTGTGTTATTTTCCCAATAAGCATCTGACAATCCATCTTATTCCATCTCCTAGGTGATAGTGGCAGTCCTAGGTATTTAATAGGAAAATCTCCCTCTGTGAACTTTGTTCTTCTCAGCATCTGTTGTTTGAGTTCCTCTGCTACTCCAGCTATGAAGATGTTTGACTTCTCCATGTTTGCAATCAGCCTTGTCACTCTACTGAAATGGTCTAGTGCCTCCATCACTCTATTCACTGAGTTGAGGTTGCCTTTGCAGAAGATCATCAAATCATCAGCAAAAATCAGGTGAGTCAACTTGCTTGTCTTGCACATGGGATGGAATCTGAAATCAGGAAGCCTGCTTATAGTGCTCAGAGTTCTTGATAAGTATTCCATAACCAGGACAAATAGCAATGGTGACATAGGGTCACCTTGCCTCAATCCTCTCTTGCCTTCAAAGTACCTATGTCCTTCCCCGTTTACTTTAACTGTGAGTTTGGCAGTAGTGACACAAGTCATTGTCCACTGTATGAATCTGTCTGGAAACCCATATTCCTTCATTGCTTCTTCTATAAACTCCCAGCTCACCATATCATAGGCCTTCCTTAGGTCAATCTTCATTAGGCATCTTGGTGTAGTTTTCCTATTATAGTGTCTCAATAGGTCATGACATATTAATACATTGTGCATCATAGATCTCCCCTGTACAAATGCTGATTGGTTTTCTGCAACTATGTGATTAACTACAGGTTTCAGTCTGGAACAAAGCATCTTTGATATGCATTTATATAGTACATTGCAGCATGCTATAGGTCTAAACTGGCTAGCATTCTCAGGAGCCTCCACCTTTGGTATTAGAGCTATATTTGTAGAGTTGATTTGTCTTAGCAGTTTCCCATTCTGAAAAAACTCTAATACTGCATCTGTTATTTCATTTTCCACTATTGACCATGCAGCTTTGTAAAAGCCACTCCCATAACCATCTGGACCTGGACTTTTGTTGCTATCAATCTGAAACATAACTTGTTTTACTTCCTTTCTCTCATATGGCTGGATCAAGTCATCTTGTTGATTGCCTGTTAGTCTGCTTCCATTCCTGATTATACTCCTGAAAGTCTTCACTCTATCAGTTGTCGTTCTGCCTAGTAAGCTTTCATAATAATCAACAAATGTGTCTGCTATTCTATCTGGATCTGTTGTCCAGTTTCCTGTGCTGTCTTTCATCTGTGTGATTGCTTGCTTCAGTTTCCTATGCTTGATTACTGAGTAGAAGTACTTGGTGTTGTCATTTCCCAGTCTTATCCATGTGGCTTTACTCCTTTGTTGTAAGTACACTTCTGCTAAGTAGGAAGACTCCCTGAATTTCTTATATGCTGCAGCTTCAACTTGTTGGTACTCCACTTTTGTTGGTTCCTTCTGCAGTTGTTCTTGTGCATTCTTTAGCCTTTCTCAAGCTTCATTTACTTCTGTCAATATGTTGTTGGATGCCTGTGCATTTATGGCTCTAAATCCCTTCTTTAGCATTTTCAACTTTTTCACTACTTTGAACATAGTACAACCTTCCATACTGATTCCCCATCCTTCTCTAACTACCTTCAAAAAGTTTGGGTGCTTAGCCCAGTTATTGCAGTACTGAAACATCTTTTTTATTTTTTTTCTTTCTTCTACCATGTACACCTTAGCAGGGCAGTGATCACTTATACCTTCATTCAAGAATCTTCCAGCACATTCTGGCATGTTGTTGAGCCACTGATTATTTATAAAAATCCAGTCAATTTTTGAAAAAATTCTATGCTCCTCATGATTATCACTCCAAGTATATCTATTTCCTTGTGCAGGCATTTCCAGAAGTTCACATTCCCTTAAACAGTTATGAAAATCCACCACTTCAGCCCATGAAACCTCCTGCCCACCTATTCTGTCTTCAGCATTTAGAACTGAGTTGAAATCCCCTAGTACCACCCATGGTTTACTACATCTTTTACTATATTTAACTAACTCTTCCCAAAGCTCCTTCCTCTCCTCCTTAGTATTAAAAGCATATACATATGTAATGTCAAACTCTAATTGTAATGGGATATATACAACCTTGCATGTTATTGCTTGAGCTGATTTCTCTAAAGGCAGTACTAGATAGTAATCCGACCTCCAGGTGACCCATATTCTTCCATTGTAGTGATGCTCCAGATTTGTTACATATTGCCATCCTGCAAACATCTGTTCTGCTATCTTCTCTATTCTCTCTTTTTTTGATTTTTGTTTCTAGTAATCCAATTAGTCCTGTCCTTTCCTCATTGCAAAGGAGTTTAGTCTCCTTTTGCTTATTAGGGGCATTAAGCCCCCTAGTGTTCCAGCTTAGAAAACTAACCATCCCCATTATGAGGGATGTTTATGCCACCCACATTTCTGACTTCTTGCCCCTCTTTACTCATGATCCTCTCCTCTTGTTTGCTTAGTATTTGAAATGAATTAGATTCTTCCATTTGTTCCTGCTGCACCTCCACAATTTTACCATACTTGTAAGGTGTTTGCCATTCCTGCTCTCCTTCTTTTTCCTTCTGTTTCCCCCGATTCTTAACTACATATTGCTGGTTCTTCTTTTTGCCCACTTTTCCTGCATTATTCATCCTCTCAATGCTATCTATTTTCTGTGCTTCCTTGTTCTCCTTATTTGTATTCTGATCTTGATCTTGCTTTTTCCCCTGTGTGATTTCCACCACCTTTGCCTTATTCATTGTTTCAAGTTTATGAAATTTCTTCTTTATTCTACATACTTCTTCCTCATGCCCATACTTAAAGCAGTGTTTGCATAGGGATGGTTTCCAGTCATAAGTGACCTCCTGTTCTATTATATTCCCCTTCTCATTTTTAAACCTAATCTTATCAGGTAGCTTGGTGTTCATTTCAACCTCAACTAGTAGCCTTGCAAACTTCAATCCAATTCTCTTTTCTGTGTTTTGATCCACCATTAGAGGCTTCCCAATCAGACTTCCTATCTTACTTAATACTCTTTGACTCCAATATTTGAAGTCCAAATCTGGCAGTTTGATCCAAATAGGAACTGTCAGTAGCTCTTCTTTGGTGAACTCCAGCTCAGGTGTCCATCCCTTGACAATTAACGGTTTATTGTCAAAATGATAGATTCCCCCTTCAATAACCTCCTGTTTCCCTATCGCAGTATCAAATCTTACTACTATTACGCCATTTTTTAGCATCACTATTCTATCTACTCCATGTTTACCCCAAATCCTTTGAATATAACCTTGAATTACAGTAAATGGTGGGTGAGCCCCAAGCACATAACAGATTACAGCATTTTTCCAGTATTCCACTTCTGAACTTATGTCATCAACTTCAATTTCAACAATTCGATT